TTAATAATAAAAAAGCACCTGAAATTGTCGAAATAGGCTATGATAGAAGGATTAGCAAGAAAGTCGGCACAGAGTGCAAAAAGAATAAACCCAAAGCAATTGTTTAAAATAATAAAATGCTACAGTTGCCTAGCCACTGTAAACCAGCCATGCATTCATAGCCTGAAACATGTTTTGTTCTCATGAGCCACCCTAAATCTCCACCGCAGACCAAATATATGGGAGAAAAGCAGGCCTAGTTGAAAACACTTAATCCTTTTAACAAAATTGCCAATTAAAAATACAGTTTTTTTCATATTCCAGAAAACCTAGCCATCTGTCTTGCCACTTAATCCTGTAAATAAGAGAGAAAATAAAGGGATACTAATTTTATTGACGCTTTAACTGTAGGAAAGAAAATTGCAGAGTTCCCTGGTGCTGACAAATACCTCTCTTGGCTCCTTTCAAAACATGATTGCATTCTTGCAAAACTGTAAATTAATGAGTTTGAGAAAATCCATGCTTAGGTGAGCAAGGCCTGGGGCGCCAAGCCAGGTGTTCCAGTTCTAATCACAACACCTTCAAAAAGCCCTAGGAAACACCGCCACTGTCTGCCTCAGTTTCCCCTGGGACATCTTCCATGCTTTGGCAGCTGCCAGGGCCCTTGCTGCATGACAGGTCCCACCACCAATGCCACCCTGGTCCCCCACATTCAATTTTTCCTGGTGCTCTAGTCAGTGTTGGACAGCAGGGCCTGGCTGCCATTCTATTTTCCCACAATTCCTGGAGCAGCATTACATCAGATCCATTGTGGGAATTTCGCTATCGCTCCAGAGGCTTAGTGCTGCTTGGAATACTGATGCCCACTGCCAGGTAAGCCCACCTTCAGGGCCACAAAGGGCAATCTCAAGTCAGCTCTGCCCATTATCATAGAATCATAGCGTTGGAAGGGACACACAATGATACCATGGAAACCAGGGCCTAGAATTCAAGGCCTTCTTCCTGCTGTGCAAATTGGTGATAAGTTCTTATGGCAGATTTGTTTTTGTGTTTACAGATGAGATACGAACAGGGAGGCATACCCTACGGTTTACTAGAGGTAACCCTTGTAATTATCAGTAGCTGTTTCTTCGTTTTTTAATTTTGTTTTTATGGTTGTGGCACCAATCAGTCACAGGCTTCTTAAGGTAATAATAATAATAATAATAATAATAATAATAATAATAATAATAATATGCCACCCATCTGACTGGGTTGTCCTGGCCACTCTGGGCGGTTCCCAACAAAATATTAAAATACAAAAAAACTCAAGCAATAAAAACCTCCTTGTATAGGGTTGCCTTCAGATGTCTTCAAAGAGACTTGTGTGGAAGAAGCCAGCATCACCCACTAGATATCTGCATGGCCATGTTAAGATTCCCAGGGTGTTTTGTCCTTTATTTTAATAGATTGGCATGCCTTTGCTTCCATTCCTAGCAGGACTGATGTCTTTACAATTTATTGTTCCCTGCCCTTGGCACTGTAATAATCATCTGAGCAATAGAGGGATTTGTCCATGTAGGAAAGCTACACTAGAGCTTATGATCTGGGCCAAGCCTTCAGCTGCTATCGAGAGAGAAAATGATGACATTAACTGAATAACTACAGTGTATTTCCGGAGCTGAAGAAACGTCACCCCACCACACTTGTGACTGTCTGCAGAATATTAAGGACTTTGCTTTTGTGGAGCCAAAACATTTGTGAGGTGCTGTCTGATGGAGCTGTTCCTGGTGCTGGATAGCCTATTATGAAAGACTCGGCATAAGTTTTCAGTTATTTACATGCCTATCCCCTCTTTTTAGACATAGTGGGGACATTATGTGGTATGTGGGGGCACATACACCCTCAGGGCTTAATTACATAAATGAAGTTTGGCTTAAAGCTTTGGAAATAGTTGGACAAGGACCTCCCAGTATCCTGACTATTACAGGTTTGGGTAGTTGGTAGCCATTGAAATCAAGAAGGTTCACCATGGTCTGGCCCCCTTACTTGATTGATCAGGATCTGTTTCCTCTTCATCCCAGTAAGTAACTGGAATAATAGACCACTTGCAAGTGAGGCGGATGAGGCTTCCGCCCTGCTTCCCAGGTGCTGGATCAGGCTTCCTCAACCTTGGCCCTCCAGATGTTTTTGGCCTACAACTCCCATAATCCCTAGCTAGCAGGACCAGTGGTGAGGGGTGATGGGAATTGTAGTTTCAAAACATCTGGAGTGCTGAGGTTGAGGAAGCCTGTGCTGGATCATTCTGAAGCAGCAGTGACGCAAGTTCCCTCTGACACTGCAGTGGCTCATGATGATCTGTGGGACTGAGTTGCTTAGCTACCTTTCGCACCTGCTGCTTCTCATGTGAGACAAAATGCAATGTTCACCACTTAAAGACATCTTTGGTGCAGCAAAAAGAGGGACCAGGATGCACACTTAACGTTTACTTCCTGTGCCATTATCTTCCCTCCAAAATCCGATGCGTGTCCCCTGAAGTGAGAGGTCCACAAAATCAATTTCAGGCGAGACATGGAAGGCGTAAGATGCATAAGTCAGTTTTGCTTTCTCTGCTTCTCTGCCTATTGTCACATCCAATACTTGGCCTGCTGTAGTTTGCATTATATTTGTTGGGTTTAAACCAGACTATTTCTCTAATATGAACTGACTCTTTAAGTTATTGAAAGCTTTGCAACGGCTGTACCCTGCTATTATCATATTTTAAATCCTCAAAAATACCTCCTGGATTTAAGCAAGACATGTCATAGTTGAAGATTGCTGTTTGGGTTTAATTGCATTGTCCTGAGAGGCAGAGTTTATATGTCAATTTGGTGCACATAGTCTAGGAATACCGCATATTATAATGTTGCCAAGAGAGTGCCCCGGAATAAGGATAATGATGAGAGATAGCATATGAGACACTCAAAAGGCAATTGGCACTGAAGGAGCTTGCTGGAGAGCCTAGATAATGAGATATGGGCCTAAAGGGAATATGAAATAATTCTCTTTTTTCTATAAGGTGCCACCACCAGCTCTCTCACCATGTTTGTTAAATACCTTCTGAGGAATCTTATATGGAAGCAGTCCCTGGGATTTTCAGACATTCTTTTTTTAAATCACGCTGAGTAAAGAAGCATTTCTTTCTCCCCAAAAAAATCTTGATAAAATTAAATTGAGTTGGAGAAGTGGTAAGGACTTTCAAGGAATCTGGGCAGCTCCTGTTTGTCATTGGGACTCTCTTAATCCACCTAGGGATGGGTGAATCAGTCTGTGTCCAAACCATTTTACATTTCTGTGTGTCGCCCATTGTTAGTCGGTTTTAGATTCTTCATATCCTGCCTTTCATACCCCCCCAAAGACTCTTTCATACCCCGCAAACTGAAATGGTAAAATACAATTTACAGAAATGGGAGACTATCATCTCTGAACATTGTTAAAACAGGAAACCTAAACACAACACAGCCTTTCCTCTGCCTGAAAGCAAAAGCAAAAACTCTCTCCCCCCCCACCCGAGAAATGTGTCCAAAGAAAAGGTAGATCTAAGCTTTCCACAATATGGTTGCTACCTCATGGCCTATTATAAGAGTCCTAGGTAGACCAGTAGGGCATGAAAGATGGAAAAGCTCACCTCTGATGGTTCCAAACACAGCATTCCCCCTGTAGTCTTTTCTGTCCAATTTCTGTGATTTATTTATTTTTTAAATTTAGCTGCCATTGAACTCATACTCATTTATTACAAGTTGTTAATTGACCCCATCTTAGCTGGGAGACAAATGGGACTAGTTTACAGAAGAGAAAATGTATTTGGGAGGATAGTTTCCATAAAAAGTGAGTAAAAGTGTTTGTGCATTCAGCATACCAGATGGGTGGTATTTTCCTGGTGAAGGAAGATGAGTTTTGGAACTCACAAGGGCTTATTTTAAAGCAGGCATAGGCAAACTCTGGCCCTCCAGATATTTGGAGACTACAATTCCCATCATCCCAGACCACTGGTCCTGTTAGCTAGGGATGATGGGAATTGTAGTCCCAAACATCTGGAGGGCCAGAGTTTGCCTATGCCTGCTCTGAAGCATTTTAACAGAACAATGGCAGTGAACAACCTGTTTTAAAGGTTTGTCAGTCTATATTTCCATGCTTTACTTTGCTGCATATTTTGTGAATTGAAATCTCTCCTGGGATTCTCTTACCAAAGAGTACCGTACTTGCCCCAAACTTGGATTTTGGCATTCAGGAATTCATTCATATATGTATATATATATATTCCTTGAACCAACCATAAGGGCAATAGGGGGCTGATTCAATTGGTTGAGCTAAAGCAATGGAATATCAGTGTTGTCACCACATTGCCAATTCTGGTGCCTATGTAGGGCTGTGATGCCATTCTGTTCCCTATGCGATCCACAATTGGTTAGGATCATCCACAAAATTAACAACGAAGAAGATGGAATGGGGTACAGATGTCACTGAAGCAGAAGGAGGCAGCAAAAGTAATAGGCATCAATTACATCAAAAAGAGAGTGTGTTATTAGGGATTTGACAGGAGTGGCCTTTGTGGTGCCGCACTGTGGCCCTCCTGACAGCAGCATTGCCCAAACAGCCCTTGCCTCACCCCACACTGTCCTAGTAAATATCACCAGTGCCACTGTTGGGAGAGTGGTGGCATTGCATCATCCTACCCACTCCTGGGATCTGGAGGGATGGATATTTCAACCTTGAAAGCTCCGTTTTAGCCTGAAAATCCAAATGGACAAATGTTTCATTCACCCCATAAATGCTGGTTGTTGCCTGTCACCTGCAAACTCTCCATCCCTGCTCACATGGCATTAACTGAGGTTTTATGCTGTCATGGTTTGTTCACAAGCATCATAATTAGCATGGAAGAAGCCTTAGAGATAATTAAGATTTCTCTTGATGGCACACCACATAAAAGTGGTAATGGTAAAGTTTAAATTAGGTAATGAACAAAGTAAGACACACTTAAACTTGTGTTTAAACTTTAAATGCTCCTTTTGTTTGGTCCATACATTTGCCAGGTGAATAAATCGTATCAATCACAGCGTGAATAAGTTCATAAGGCACCATATGGCTAAGCAATGTTAAAACATGACTGGTTGGGAATGAAATGCTGCCATGGGGTAGGTCTGTGGCGATGTTCACCTAGAAGTGGCAATATCAAAACCAGTTATTAGAGCTGACTAGGACGTTGTGAAATGAGCCAAGATATTCTGAAGCATGATGGACTCACGATCATAGTTTGTCTCTGCTTCTGCTATTTTGTCTCTGTCTCGGCTATTTTCTTGGGATTTGGAGATCACGGTTCCCACAGAGAGTCCTCAATTCACATAATACACCTAAAATGGGGGACATTTCAAAAGTGTTGGTGTTGAAGTTCTTTAAAGCCCAAAATGATTTTAAAGATTACTTTTAAAACAAAAAAAGAGATTGTGAAGAGCTCCAAAAGGACTTCTCCAAGCTGAGCGGGTGGGTGGTAAAATGGCAGATGAAATTCAATGCAGACAAGTGTAACGTGATGCCTGCCGGGGCAAAAAAAATCTTAATTTCACATACTGTATATACTCATGGAGTCCGAACTGACAGTGACTGTGACCCGGAGTGAGACCTAGGTGTCATAATGGATAGCTCAGTGAAGATGTCAACCCAGTGTGAAAAAGGCAAATTCCATGCTGGGGATCATTTGGGAAGAAATAGAAAATCAAATTGCCAATATCATAATGGTGTTATACAACTCTACAGCGTGACTGCAGTTTAGACACTGTGTACAGTTCTGGACATCCAGTGAGTGTGTGTGTGTGTGTGTGTGATTTTACTGGTTCCCCCAAAATGTGCATTGTCTTTTTTTAAAAGGTGTATAGTCCTTTTTTTACATTTGATGTGAGACATTATTTACACAGTTCATAGTTAAGCTCTGGAACTCAGGAGACAATGATGCCCACCAACTTGGATTACTTTAAAAGGCTATTAGACGAATTCATGGAGGATAAGTCTATCAGTGGCTACTAGCCATGATGGCTATGTTCTGCCTCCATTGTTAGCGGCAGTAATGCTTCTGAATATCAATGGCTGAAAACTGCGGGAGGAGCGAATGCTCTTGTGCTCAGGTCCTGCTTTCAGGTTTCCCACCGAAATCTGGCAGGCCACTGAGAGAACAGGATGCTGGACTAGATGGGCCATTGGCCTGATCCAGCAGGCTCTTCTTATGCTTTCTGTGACTTAAGTCCAGGATACCGGAAGGACCACCTCTTCTCATACCATACTGCTTGCACTATAATATTTGAGGGACCTTCCTCTAAGGTGGAGGGTCTTCTCTGAGGCCATATCTGATGAACAGGACATTAACCAGCACACTTCAGCTTCAGTCTTAGTAGTTGGCTTGGAGGAGTGGGGGCTCTGGCAGGGTCTAGGTAAAGTTTGAAGTTGTCAGGAATATGGATGAACAGCATAACGTTGGGATCTTGGAAGTTAAATGGGAACACATCAGTGTCAGAAGCAGGGGCAGAACCTAAGCGAGATTACAAGCCTGGTAGATGAAGGGAACGCAGTGGATGTAGCCTACCTTGATTTCAGCAAGGCATTTGACAAGGTGCCTCATGATATTCTTGTAAAGAAGCTGGTAAAATGTGGTCTTGACTATGCTACCACTCAGTGGATTTGTAACTGGCTGACTGACCGAACCCAAAGGGTGCTCATCAATGGTTCCTCTTCATCCTGGAGAAGAGTGACTAGTGGGGTGCCACAGGGTTCTGTCTTGGGCCCGGTCTTATTCAACATCTTTATCAACGACTTGGATGATGGACTCAAGGGCATCCTGATCAAATTTGCAGATGACACCAAATTGGGAGGGGTGGCTAACACCCCAGAGGACAGGATCACACTTCAAAACGGCCTTGACAGATTAGAGAACTGGGCCAAAACAAACAAGATGAATTTTAACAGGGAGAAATGTAAAGTATTGCACTTGGGCAAAAAAAAATGAGAGGCACAAATACAAGATGGTGGACACCTGGCTTGAGAGCAGTACATGTGAAAAGGATCTAGGAGTCTTGGTTGACCACAAATTTGACATGAGCCAGCAGTGTGACGCGGCAGCTAAAAAAGCCAATGCAATTCTGGGCTGCATCAATAGGAGTATAGCATCTAGATCAAGGGAAGTAATAGTGCCACTGTATTCTGCTCTGGTCAGACCTCACCTGGAGTACTGTGTCCAGTTCTGGGCACCACAGTTCAAGAAGGACATTGACAAACTGGAACGTGTCCAGAGGAGGGCAACCAAAATGGTCAAAGGCCTGGAAACGATGCCTTATGAGGAACGGCTAAGAGAGCTGGGCATGTTTAGCCTGGAGAAGAGGAGGTTAAGGGGTGATATGATAGCCATGTTCAAATATATAAAAGGATGTCACATAGAGGAGGGAGAAAGGTTGTTTTCTGCTGCTCCAGAGAAGCGGACACGGAGCAATGGATCCAAACTACAAGAAAGAAGATTCCACCTAAACATTAGGAAGAACTTCCTGACAGTAAGAGCTGTTCGACAGTGGAATTTGCTGCCAAGGAGTGTGGTGGAGTCTCCTTCTTTGGAGGTCTTTAAGCAGAGGCTTGACAACCATATGTCAGGAGTGCTCTGATGGTGTTTCCTGCTTGGCAGGGGGTTGGACTCGATGGCCCTTGTGGTCTCTTCCAACTCTATGATTCTATGATTCTATGATTCTATGATTTAGCATGGATGAAGTTTGGGGAACGCTGGTTGCAGCTTAGGGCTGAAGACCAGGCATCACTGGGGAGCAAGAAATGGTAGCCAGGGTATCTTTCCAGGGAGAAATAAGAACTGAAGGCTGGAGCTAAGAAGGTGAATGCACAGTAGATATGGAAGGACTTTTCTTTGCCTCTAGGCTTATGCAGACAATTAAGAAAAACATGTTCCATAAGAGTGAGCTGGAGATTTTGATTATATTATGAAATCATAGTAGACAGATTTTGTTTGTTTGTTTTACAAATGCATGAATGAGTTGAAGAAATGAATAATAAAGGATGGTTTCTGAATGGTCAATTAATTGCAATGTGGCCCAATGATTGCTTTCTCCAAGACCAACAACTTCCCTAAAATGATTAAGGTAAACATGGCCAGGATTGCTCCACGCATTACTCTGACTACTCAATATGTTAAAAAAATTAAGAAGAAGATAAGGAATCCTTTCCCACGCTTAACCCACATTGATTTTATAAGCAGAGGCATCTTTGAAAATTGTAGAGGCAAAAGTAATCTGTGTTAAGTGGTGACGCAAACGTCTGAGTGGTGTAAACATATGGCTTCTATGATTCCCCACCCCCACCCCCGAACCACCATAAATGTCACTTGGGAAGGTTGAAATTACAAAGCAGGTTGGAACTGAAAGGCGATCTATGAATCAGCTCAGACAATGACAGTATTTTGGAAAGGGTTTACCCATCGTCGTAACTCAGCAGCCCCAGCCCTTTCCTCTGTTGTTCTCGGTTTAATTAGAATACCATGTGTCTGCTGTTTCCTATTGACTAATAAGTGATATATAGCCATAGCTACACTTCTGCTATATGTCCCTAACAAGTCTTCAGTGAAAGGGATGCACATATGGCTTCTGACCTCAGGGGACAGTATGGTGCACAAATGAAGGATTTGCTGTGGTGTTCAGGGGGCAAGAGTGTGAGATTGGAAATGAGAAGTTCTGTGGATGCAAATAATGCTAAGCCTTTATGTCATGTGCACAGTGTCTAACATAGGGGTGCAGAATCTTTTTGAGCCCAAAGTTTGCATTCCCTTTTGAGCAACCTTCTGGGGCCCAGGTGTGCCCCTATCTAGCCAGGGACGGCATAACTCTATGCTCTGGTAACCTCTAGGTTGAATTACTATAGTGTACATGGGGTTGCCTTTGAAGACGCTTCAGAAACTGCAGCTGGTGCAGAATTTTGTGGCCAGATTGTTTACAGGCGCAGGACAAGCAGAACATGAAACACCACAACATATGGAGTTCTCCTCAGGCAGTCGGGGGTCTTTCCCCCCAAAACGACGCCTGTCACTTTTTGTCCCCATAAGCCTTCGACTGATGCACTCTGTTCTCTGCAGATGTTTATTGACTACATTTCATTGAAACAAAGGAGTTCAATGTGTTTGCTTACAACTCATTCCAAAGCTCTTAGCAAACAGCCATGCTTGAGTGAAAATCAGAATTATCAGCAGTCTCTTTCAGCACAACTGGCATAGACATCTTAATGATCCCGCTGGGTCTTTCCTTGCTTCTTTCTTCCCTACTCTTTTTTGTTTTGTTTTTTTTAAAAACCTCATTTGTGGCAGATTAAGGACTAATCCATACTATGAAATTAGCATAATGAGAATGTGGGTTGAATGGGACTGTGCAGATATCATCACATGTTGACGTTCCCTTGTGATATTGTTTCATCGCAAACTGAGCTCACCACTCAACACACCATAATGCAGCCGGCAGTTGTGGGCATGATTTTTATGGACAACTATTATGAAATCCGTAAAATCACTATGTATTGTTGCCTCTAGAGGTGCCTCTTTTGTTTTGTTTCTTATATGCTGCAGTTTAAGCTCATGTCGGGCACATTAGAGCTTTATAGGGTGAGCCTCACAAGTTCAGGGAAACAGCAATTGTAGTTACCTCGTAAATGTTCAAGCTATTTATTGTACCCTTCCAGAGTGGGTAGGTCACATGAGCTTCACAGATTCCGTAATGGCTTGTATGCTGTCATAGTTTGATCTCCCTGGGTTTCCACCTCTACAGTTGGATTCCCATTTTAATAATGAGTGTAAATGTGAGATCAGCTGACCTTAGACACATATATAGGCTTCAGGAACACTGTAGAGTTAAGTGTTCCAAATATCTGGGAAGTGGGCATTTACATTCATCGGGAAACTGGAAATTCAGATAATGCAGATGTTGATGTGCATCCATACCCGAGAGTAAGCCCCACTGAATTCAATAGGGCTTACTTCTTACTTCATAGTTTGGATTGCATTGTTATTCATATTCAGAGCAGACCCATTGGAATCAAGTATGACTAACATCGAGTAAAGCTAATGCAGCTCTTTCCCTTTTAAATCTATGGGACAATCAGACCCAACAAGGACATTCCAAAAAACTCATCAAACACTCATCAAACAGCCAGAATATCTGTTGCACCAAAATGGAAGACATTGTAAGAATTACAAATTTCGCTATGGTGTGTATATATATATATATATATATATATATATATATATATATATATATATATATATAACACATACGGAACCCTGCAATAGCAGGGAAAGCAATGCATAATTTGATTGTTTCCAAGGGATTGGAAACTCCAGAATATTTCTGTGTCATGTGGTGGGGCTTCGTGTCTCCATTTTGACTTTCTGCTGACTCAGAAAATGTGTATGCAGTCCCAGAACTTTTAGTAACTAACAGCACAAACATACTGTGTATGTCTATTCAGAAATAAGTTCTCATCACCTCCTGAAAAATCCTGCCACAGTGCCATTATGCTTTTTCCTTCCCTGCAGGTTTTGGTGCAACCTCTCTCTCTCTCTCTCTCTCTCTCTCTCTCTCTCCTTCAGCTTTTACTATCCATCTTAATGAACACTTCTGGAATTTGCAAAATTTGGTGGCTTAATATGTTATCTTAATATGGTTTTGGGATTTTTTTTCTAATAGGCCAACAAGACTGCCTTCGTTTTTGGCTCCAGGCAGACTCCTCACTCTGGTGGAATCTACACACATGTTAAAAACATTGTGAAAATGCTTTTTGTAATAATCGTTTTGAAAAATGCATTGAATTTGCTATAGCTCACAGTTGCCATCTTGTGTCACAATTGTATATTGCACTTTGCAACACATTCAAAACGTTTTATTTGCAGCTGTATGCTGTTTCTTTTCCTGCTGATGGAGGACTTCCTAGCAACCCTTTATCAATCTCCTGCTTGCTTTCCACCAAAGTTTTTCCAGTAGTGGCATGTGTTGCCCACATTAGATATCTGAATAGGCTGTATGTATGCATGAACAGTAGGCTGTTCCTAGGTTTTCATTGCTAAAGGAGTTACTAAGGGCCAGAAGTCCTGACAAACAATAATTCCCAAGGATCTTTGCACTGGGAAGAGCCTGCTGGCAAGATTTAATTACGGTCCATAGAATGGTTGTCCCAACACTGCTGCTTCAGGAGGTTTTGAGGATCTTTTTTAATAATAATAATAATAATAATAATAATAATAATAATTTTATTTGATTTTACAAAAGTAAAATTATAACAATACCAAATACATATTCATATATAGAGATTTCTCTAAATCTTGAGATTTCCCACCATCCCCTCCATGGACCCTATTGTCAACATTTTCAACTGCATATTATTTCATAATCTATATTTTGTATCTGTCCATATTGTCCATAGTGTTTGTTACATTACAAGTGATATCAGAATCCTGCTAATGTTTCCATCTGCTTACAGTGGTCTCCTAAGTAAATTATAATTTTTTTCCATTCTTTTCTGAAGTTTTTGTTGTCTTGGTTCCTGAGCTTTCCGGTCAGTTTTGCCATTTTGGCATCCTCTCTGGTAGGGACTCTTTCTTCTTTCCATCTCTGGAAGCTACTAGCCCATGTTTTGAGGCTCTTATGATTAAAAAAAAAAACTTGTTTATTTTCTGAACCCTGTGTGTTTGTTTCTGATGTCCTCCATTATGAAATGCGGCAATGTTAAACCTTCAACAACTTCCCCTCTGGAAGAACAGTTTCCAGTTTCTAAATGAACATTGGTGTGAAGTTTCATCTAATTGTGTGTAACTTGTTGTTGCCATAGCTTGTGTTTATTCTGCTAGCCAGCTATACTGTTGGTATCTGTAGGTTGGCATTCCCAGAGTTTTAAAAGTTGCAGCAGTACCTTAAGCTCCAGGATTTTAAGCTTTTTTTTTTTAAATGCTTCTCTGGAGTTTTGAAGTCCAGAGGATGCTTTTGGCCATACAGTGGTACCTCGGGTTACATATGCTTCAGGTTACATACGCTTCAGGTTACACATTCCGCTAACCCAGAAATAGTGCTTCAGGTTAAGACCTTTGCTTCAGGATAAGAACAGAAATCGGGCTCCGGCGGCATGGCAGCAGCAGGAGGCTCCATTAGCTAAAGTGGTGCTTCAGGTTAAGAACAGTTTCAGGTTAAGAACAGACCTCCGGAATGAATTAAGTACTTAACCTGAGGTACCACTGTAGAATTTTTGAGATCTTCATGAGGACCTAAGACACTATTCACATGATTCCCCCACTCACCAGTAATGTACGTTCCCTCTTCTGTGCCCCCATATATTTCTGGTGGCACAACTGTGTCCCATGGGATCCCAGTCCCAAAAATAATCTTTGCAAGTGCTCACCAGGTGAATTGACCTAGTTAATTTTGAGTCATGACAGACTGCGAGAAGACAGAATGAATGGGTTGGATGGCAGTGATGTGTGAGTGTGCATGAGCGTGAGAGAGTGAGTGGAGGGGGGTAGCGGCAAAGGCAGGTTCAGAGGTTGTATTGTGAACAAATAAGTCAATGAATTGTCGGTGGTCTCCCCCCCCTTTTTTTTTTTGCAGAAAAATAGATTTTAAAGCCAGAAGGAACTGATGATTAGTTTTTCTGACCTTCTGAATAACTTGAGTTATAAGAGATTCTCCCAGTAACAACTGTATTATGCCCAGACAGCTAACTAAACTTCAGCATAACTTTGGGAGAGTGTAAACTCACTATAAAAACCCTCCCAGTAATGGAAAATTTACAATATTCTTCAGGAGTATGTTTCATAATTACACATCTCTGTTCTGTTGAGATTTTGTTACTCCCTCACTTTTTTTGTTCTCTAGGGAAACCTGCAGAGCTATTTAACTGGGCCATGCAAGCCTATTTGCTTGCTATTGTTTTTTCATAATGATGTTAATTGGGCTGCTGAACTCTGTAGTGCCATTTTGATTCTACCGTGATCTTATGGCTTTCCTGTGTTAATATATTCACTGTCTATCCGTTGTTGATTATTTTTAATGTTATCATTTTTTAGCTTTGAGTTATTTGGTTTTTATTATTGTTGTATATTTGCTTAATTTACATAGCACTATGTGCTTTCATGAGAGATGGGATATGAATTTGATACAGAAATAAAATGAAAATTCATTGAATTAAATGTTGGCTTCAGAAATATTTAGATATAGCTCAATTGCTAGAGCATGAGATTCTTAGTCTCAAGGTCATGGGTTCGAGCCCCATGTTAGGCACAAGATTCCTGCATTGCAGGGGGTTGGACTAGATGACCCTCGTTGTCCCTTCCAACTCATACAGTTCTATGTTTCTGTGTAGCACAAATTCATACAAGACAGAGCTCTTATCCTAAGGGGCATAGTTGCTTCAGATACAGATGGAGTCCATCAAATATGCCAGATTAATGGATCCATCATTTGCTTTTAAATTGATCTAACAATCTAGCTATTTCAAACCAATTTACATAGATCCAGAACCTCATTATAAATGCCCTTTTGTCAGTACTGGAGCAGTGTGAGATAACATAAAGTTTAATAAGAATGTGTCATTTAATAAAAGTTACCATGCTCATTGGAAGAGAAGTTTACTTTTACAGAGGTACCTTGGGTTACATACGCTTCAGGTTACATACGCTTCAGGTTACAGATTCCGCTAACCCAGAAATATTACCTCGGGTTAAGGACTTTGCTTCAAGATGAGAACAGAAATCGTGCTCTGGCAGCATGGTGGCAGCAGGAGGCCCCATTAGCTAAAGTGGTGCTTCAGGTTAAGAACAGTTTCAGGTTAAGAACGGACCTCCGGAACAAATTACGTACTTAACCAGAGGTACCCCTGTATTTCTTTTCCTCTGTTTTCCATTACGGTAATGACGCTGTAGGGACGCGGGTGGCACTGTGGTCTAAACCACTGAACCTCTTGGGCTTGCTGATCAGAAGGTCGGTGGTTCAAATCCCTGCAATGGGGTGAGCTCCCGTTGCTCTGTCCCAGCTCCTGCCAACCTAGCAGTTTCAAAGCATGCCAGTGCAAGTAGATAAATAGGTACCGCTGTGGTGGGAAGGTAAACGACATTTCTGTGTGCTCTGGTTTCTGTCACAGTGTTCCGTTGCACCAGAAACGGATTAGTCATGCTGGCCACATGACCCAGGAAGCTGTCTGTTGACAAACGCCGGCTCCCTCGGCCTGAAAGCGAGATGGGCGCCTTTGACTGGGCTTAACTGTCCAGGGGTCCTTTACCTTTTACCTTACCTTTACCTAATGACGCGAGAGCTAAAGAAAGAGGCTAAGCAGGAGTTTGATCCTTCAGTCCAAGAATGTGAAGGCTCCATGCTATGAGAGAAAGAGCAACAAGAAATTTTGGAGAAGCGTAAGAGAATAAACCACCTATTAAAGTCAATCAGGGGGACTATTTTATTTAATAGTGAGAGGAAAGGTGGGAAGTGAGGAAAAAGTTTAAAAGGAAAAGAAGTTTAAAAGTAGGGGGTGGGGGTGGGAAGGGTTGAAAAGAATGACACCCACGCTCCCATCTCCTATCCTATCCAGTGTGAGCCAAGCAGGGCTTAAGAACTGGTTACTCCTCCACTATGGTCTCTTCCCACCCATGTGCAATCACCACATGATCACTCTGTCCATACACTCCAACATTTCTCAAATGAAAATAGGGATGTCCTATTCCATCATATTCATCATCATCATCATTGTACCCCACCCATCTGGCCCAGATGCTCCAGTCACTCTAGTGGCATCCAACATATATAAAAACATAACAAAACATATTTAAAACAAAAAACCTTCCCTATACAGGGCTGCCTTCAGATATCTTCTGAAGGTTGTATAGTTACTTATCTCCTTGGTTCAGGGGTTGCATAGCTCCTGTTGCCTGTTCAGAGAAAGCACCCGCTGATTAACCTACCAGTTAAAGATTGCAACTTGATCCCTGCAGCATTTTGTCTGAGAATTAAGTCCTGAGCAACTCCAAAATTTGCCTCTCGCATTTCGTACACTACTTTGTCCAGACTGCCATGTTCTGTGGGACACAAAATGACTACCAGAATCCTCAGTTTCTATGGCATGTTAAAACCAATTGATTCTTCACACATGATTCCCTGGTGGTGGTGATGATGATAAATAATAATTGACTATATAATGCAAAATCATCATCATCTTGGAATGCTTGGAGAGAGCGGGTTTAAACTGAGATTCTTCCCTCGTTTCTTCTTCAGGCTCTTCTTCAGTATTTTTATTTATTTATACTAACATAGTGTAATTATGAAGTCCTCTAAAATAACTCTGCCAGAGTTTTCCCATCTGTGAACGGCATGAGCCTGTGTAATATAATTCACAACCCATGTAAGAGAAAAGGCGGAATGTAGGGAAACTGTAGATAACTCCAGAGCTTAGCAGCAGGCCTCCCACAATTAAGGAGCGAGGTTTTTTGAAGGTGACCTTGCAGAATGTTCATTCCTTACACCTGTCAACGCTGGACCATGATGACAAGGCAGGCAGAAGGTAGTAATGAGACAGTTTGATTGATCTGTGAATGTCAAATTAATTTAACTGGAAGCTTGCCAAAGTTAAACCCAAAACTGCATGGTGTAATAAACAGAAAAAGTAGATGTGATACTCTGGGCAGAACAATGCCCCGGTTCCAGTTAGCCTAGGCAGGGGAGGGTTTTTTTGTCCCCTTTAAAAAAAGAAAGATGAATCCTGTAATGAATTGCTTGTCACTCAAAACAAATTTGGTTTTACAACAGGAGATGAAAACTCTGGGCAAGTCTTTGCAGCTTTGCCAAAAGGGAAACGCTATATCAGAGAAATGTGAGCAGTGCCAATGAAGAATATTCATTTATCTTTAAGCAACCTTACAACCTCTCAGCCTTGTAGATTAAAATCAAAGGCACTGAAAGGGGAGGCAGACATGCAGTTTAAAAGGGGGAAGGAAAATATACCCAATTAAATTTCGTGCAGTAGACATCTGCTTTATAAAAAAAAGGGGGGGAGAACTCTCTCTTTTTATTTAATTTTTTTATTTAAACAAACAGTCACCAAGGAAGCTGGCCTTGTAAAGTACCCCTTGGAGTTTGATTACCTATGGAATGACAGTACATAAGAATGCTATACATTAATTGCCCAAAGTCTATATTAGAAGAAATAGAAGCCATGTAGCAGCTACAGCTACAATGATATTCAAATCAAAAACAAACCAGTGGCAAAATGTGAAGCTTTCCCCATAATTGTATTTCCATATGAGAAAAGGCTTAACCTGTTGAATTTCTGTCAGAGATACAGAACTCGGTCTCCCCCCCACACTTCCATGCCAATAAAAAACAATGTTTGGCAATGCTCCAAAACCCATTGCTGGGAAAACTTTAAAATAACACAATAACAGAACAGAAATTTCACCATAGCTTTTTAATTAATTTTTGTCGCACTTCTGTTCCATATTTGGGATTATCGTTAAATCTTAGTAAATCTTAAAACAAACAGTGTATAATAATAAAATCTCACTCGCAGTGTAACAGCAGCAGCTGCGATTCCTCCACAGCACAATGTCCATCGTTCTCTGACAATAAGAGGACCTGAAATGCATAGCGAGAAGACACAGCTTCAGGACTGAGCACATGCAGGTTCAATCCTTCATGACGCCATGAGGGAAAGACTTTCCCATACAGTTGACATCTCGGGGGATCTGTGGAATCGACCCTGCCTATGGGATTGCATTATGCAATTACATGACACATATGCGGCTGGTACTATGGGGACCAGAGTCGTGTCATTATGCAATTACATGACTCTAGTCCCATTGGTAATAACTGCATATGTGCAGAGAGGCTGTTGTTGTTGTTACTAGGTAAGGAAGAGGAAGAGTTTGGATTTGATATCCCGCTTTATCACTACCCTAAGGAGTCTCAAAGCGGCTAACAATCTCCTTTCCCTTCCTCCCCCACAACAAACACTCTGTGAGGTGAGTGAGGCTGAGAGACTTCCGAGAAGTGTGACTAGCCCAAGGTCACCCAGCAGCTGCATGCGAAGCAGTGGGGAATCAAACCCCGGTTCACCAGATTACGAGTGTACAGCTCTTAACCACTATGCCACACTGGCTACACACAGACTATGCTACAGCTAGCGTAGCATAGAGCATAACCACTACACCACACTGGCTCACTGGTATTCATGTATGATCCTGTTTCCACCTCAGTGTACCCAGTTCAGAAGTCCACTCACCCCTCTTGGTGCTGCGGTGTTGCAGGACAGCAGAGTCTTCACCGGGGCCCTGAGGAGGGAACTAGGACAGTGGTAGCCTTCCTGATAGGCTTAAGCCCCCTCTGCCTATCAGGAACTGTATCCTAGCCTGCACCCGGCTTTGGCTAATGGGGATGCAAGCTGGGGACTTGAGCTGTGCCAGGGGGCGGAGCTGACGGAGAAGGCAGGCTTCCTTTGGATCCATCCCTTGCCCATTTAAGCAGCCCACACCTGGGGCACTACCTGTTTGTTCCTTCTCCGGATTTCCCCCCTGCCCACCAACCCTCAGTTTAAGCTGATTGTCAGTCACTTTGCTGTGGCTACTATGGTACTGTTCTTTAAGGGGCCAGGTAGGAATTTGCCGGCTGGGCTAATTCACACCGACCCAGTGGTTTTGCCTACCTCATAGCAATTTTCACAACTGAGGTTGGGCATTGGGACAATCCTTTGTTTTGGATGGAGGGGAGGTTGTAGTCTCCACCTGCCCCTCCAAACGCTGGGGTATGCCATTGAAGGGATCCGGGGTGTTAGTGGCCATGTCCGTATGCCCAGACGGCGCCAGGGCCAAAGGCACTCCCCCAGACAGCGGTCCCTGCAGGGGTCACCCTATTGGATGGAAGTCTTAGGAACCCCCGTCTGGATTGACCACATGTCACTACCGGCTGGCAGGCCAGAAGTATTTTGATTGCCCCGTGCCCAAGTCAAACCTCTTTCATCTGTATTCAATAAAGTTGTGGCCTGTTTTGCCCCAACAAACCAGCCTCACTGGTCTCTAATTTGCATGGGTTGGGGTATGGGAACCTGACGCCTGGTCCTGCAAGGCACTGGCATGCTTCACCTGTTTGGAGGCTTCCACATCTAGTTTGGAGACAGTTTCATGTATACAACAGACTTAGCTCAGCATCAAAGGTGTGTTCTAGTTCTCAGAGAAGGTCTATATTTGTATGGTCTTGATCAGGCTTCCTCAACCTCAGCCCCCCAGATGTTTTTGGCCTACAACTCCCATGATCCCTAGCTAGCAGGACCAGTGGTCAAGGATGATGGGAATTGTTGTCTCAAAACATCTGGAGGGCCGAGGTTGAGGAAGCCTGGTCTTGATGGATTGAGGTAAAGCGCAAAATCTGGGCCTGTCACAGGAACAGAAAACCGTGGTGTCAAACACTCAGGGCACTGCTAGCGGACTTTTTCATGCTTCAGGACCTTAATGGCCTGCTGCCATTCTATTCAAAGGCTCTACTTTGCTTCATTTGAATGGCGATTTGTCATACACAATAGCGCAATTAGTCATCATAATAGAAGCAAACATTTCCTTGAGCCGTTGGGTCTAATTAAGCAGCTTGTTCAAGGTGCATATGGAGTTCAGCATAGTTCTCTTAAGTTTAATGGCATAAGGATGGTGTCATTTCTGAAACGTTTAGAAGCACATTTTACTAATAAGGCATGATGGCCAGGCTTGTTTCCACTAAATTGCAAATATACTACAGGTGCAAGACTAGGAGCAGATCCACACCACACGTTTAAAACTCATCCAGTGCTTGAAATATTGGGGACTGTTGTTTATTAAGGCTTCTGGGAAGTTTAGGCATGTGAGGGAAAAACTACCATTCCCAGGATTCCTTGGGGGAAGTCAAGCATGTTATAAGTGTTTACCTGGGCTCACATGTACGCAGCCAGCACTCATGTATGCTCATATACAGACTGCTGAGAGATCTTTTCTTGGAGTTATGACGTATGCTTCTTATGGGTGCGTTAACCCTTGACGTTATGCCCATAAGAAACTCTCACACAGAGGAATAACGAAAGCTTGGTTTATTACATTAAATAGGAGTGAAGGCATATACAGTGGTACCTCGTGTTATATACGCTTCAGGTTGCAGACTCCACTAATCCATAAACAGTACCTCTTCAGGATGAAAACAGAAATAGCGCGGCGGCAGCGGGAGGCCCTATTAGCTAAAGTGGTGCTCCAGCTTAAGAAGAGTTTCAGGTTAAGAACAGAACCTCTGGAAAGAACTAAGTGCATAACCAGTGTACCACTGTATATAAATGCTGCTCTGGACAAAAAAAAGTTATAGTCTAAGCAGGTAGCAAATTCTACAATACACACACACCTTAATTCATAGAATCATAGAAGCATAGAATTGTAGAGTTGAAGGGACCCCGGGGGGTCATCTAGTCCAAACCCCTTGCAATGCAGGAATCCCAGCTAAAACAGATGGCCAACCAACCTCTGTTTTAAAACCTCCAAGGAAGGAGAGTCTGCCACCTTCCGAGGGAGACTGTTCCCCTGTCAAACAGCTCTTACTGTCAGAAAGTTCTTCCTCATGTTTAGTTGGAATTTCCTTTCTTGTAACTTGAAGCTATGGGTTCTAGCCCTACCTTCCAGAGCAGGAGAAAACAAGCTTGCTCCATCTTCCATGTGACAGTCCTTCAGATATTTGAAGATGGGTATCATACCTCCTCTCAGTCTCCTCTTTTCCAGGCTAAACATACCCAGCTTCTTAAAGAATAAAAGATTCCCTAACTATTTTAAGATGCCTACAGAAACGTGGGCATGGCAATTTTGCCATGAACCCACTCTAGAAGTAGGGGCAGAGGAGAGAAAATATACCTGTCCTTAAAGCTAAGCAGAAGTGTGCTGAGGAGCATAGGGTAAGTGCCATCCTGTTGGAGCTAGAAGAGCAAGCTGACCTTGCTAAAGGGGGGTACAGTGGTACCTTGGGTTACAGACACTTCAAGCTACAGACTCCGCTAACCCAGAAATAGTACCTCGGGTTAAGAACTTTGCTTCAGGATGAGAACAGAAATCGTGTGGCGGTGGCGCGGTGGTAGCAGGAGGCCCCATTAGCTAAAGTGGTACCTCAGGTGAAGAACAATTTCAGGTTAAGAACGGACCTCCAGAACGAATTAAGTTCTTAACCCGAGGTACCACTGTATATCTTCTTGCCATAGCAGTGGAGAGGGGAAGGGGCTGTGAACTGAGTGATTTCTACAATTTCCATAGTTCTAGAATTTCCTGACTCTAGGACCCTGTCAGAGCCTTGCACCTCCTTCCCAAAGCTCAGTACCCTCTCAGCTCAGCACCCAGTGCACGCACCTCACTTGCACAGTCCTAATTCGGCCCCTGGCCCTATTTGAAACTGGATTTTGGATTACACAGGCCCTTGGTCTGAATCAGCAGAGCTCTTTCTGTTCTCATGCTCTTTAAAAAAGGACCTACCGAAATGAACACAAGCTGGTTTCAGTCGACCCTTTTATCTTTAATATGATTCATGAAAATCCTACGCAAAGCATCCTCGGTAGCCTAAAGACTGTTTTGCATATCTAAATAGCATCCGAAAGGAAAATCCTTCTAGTTAAGACTCTGCAATATTGCTGTAAGCAAGTGTCAAAGATCCAAGGAGGGAATATTCATTAATGGTGCAGCAAAGGAAGCCTGTTTCAATTGTCCTTAGAGAAAACCCATGGAGATTTGTCATCTGTGGGAACAGGGGTGAGGAAATCCAGGCCCCCTGGGTGAATGCAGCCTCTCATAGAATCCTAGAGTTGGAAGGGACCCCCAAGAGTCATCTAGTCCAGCCCCCTGCAGTGCACGAATGTCATTTAAAGGGACCATGACAGGTGGCCAATCAACCTCTGCTTTGAAACCTCCAAGGAAGGAGAGTCCACAACCTCCTGAGGGAGACCATTCCACTGTCAAACAGCTCTTACTGTCAGAAAGTTTTTCCTGATGTTTAGTCGAAATCTCCTTTCTTGTAAGTTGAAGCCATTGGTTCGAGTCCTACCTTCAAGAGCAGGAGGGGAAAAAGCATGCTCCCTCTTCTATGTGAGAGCCCTTGATATATTTGAAGAGGGCTGTCATATCTCCTCTCAGTCTCCTCTTTTCCAGACTAAACATACCCAGCTCCCTCAACTGTTCCTCATAAGGCTTGGCTTCCAAACCCTTGATCCTCTTAGTTGCCCTCCTATGCACACGTTCCACATTCCTCAGACCATATCCTGGGGCCCCCAGGCCACACCCTCCAGCCCTACTTTGCCCTCTCCTTGAGTGTTCTTCTGCCTGGCTGGAATGTAACCCTGAACTCCACAAAGCCTTTTGCTTGGCTGGGTGGATAGATAATAAGAGGTGTGGATAGAAATTGTCGAACAGCAAGCATTTTCATCAATTCCTTTGCCCACATTTGCCTCTGGCTCTGTTCACCACTGGTATGTATCCCCTGGAAGGTTGTGCAGAAGAGAATGTGGCCTTCAGGTGGAAAAAGATGCCTTCACCTTTGATAGCACAACTATGCAGAACCTATCCCGATTCGGAGGCACTATGCCTCAGAAGACCTACACTGTGAAGAAATAGAAAGGGAAGGTTGTGGCCATCGTATCCTACTTACAGGCCACCAGGAAGCTTTTTGGTTGGCTGTTGTTTTTGCTGACACACTTGCCCCTTTGGTAAACTAGGCATCCGTGTGTCATGCTGGGTAATGGCAATGTGGGAGTGCAAGTTTCTAAATCTCCGAGCCATGGCTGTGCACACTTTACAGCACAATCTCTGAGCTGTCGGATCTATCTCAGTCTCATCAAAGTAAACTTCCCATTGGCTGTAATGAGACGATAGGCCCTTATTCCATAGGGCACCATCTTTAAAGGCCCTGCATGAAGTGAGCAGAGAGACCAAAGCCTTGAAATAAACTCAGACTTGACATAATTAAAGGAAATCCTCTTTCAGCTCAGTCGGCAGCTTGCTCTTCCCAAGCCCTTAAGATCACTGATTCTGCTGGATCAGGTGGAATTGGTAAAAGTCTAAAATGTACCTTAGTGGTTGATTCACTGTAATTTGTAGTATCTATATCCTTGAGTGTAACTGT